AGTTTTGTCTGCGACCTCAACACTAAAACGTTCCATATCAAAAATATTGCACCAGTGTAAGGATTGGCTTTATTAGCTCTATCTGCATTGCAGTAATTGGCAGTGTTTACAAAATTTCTAATTATTAATGAAAATTTGATGTTTATTCTCTCTTTTTTTAACAGCGGTCTCCCCTGGAAAGGTAGAATCCATTGACAAGTATTTGACAAAATGTGGGTAATAATAATTTAGCACAAACTTTGAAGGTGTTTTCTTAGGGGTGCACAAAGTTTAGCTAAGCTTATGCTGCATTTTCATCTGCATTATATGGCCTGCAATCTTCAAATGTGTTCTTACCTTATTACCCTTATCATGATATTTATTTACAGATATCCCAGTCCCTTCAGCTTGCACTATACTGGTTTGCCTTTTCACTTTGCAAAAGTATGGAACCCATAAGATTGGCTTCCTTTTTGCTCCGGTTGTCATAATATGGATCATTTTCATCAGCACAATGGGCATATATAACATTATCCACTACCCTACAATCCTTCGGTCAGTCTCACCTGTGTATGTTGTTAGGTTCTTTAGAAAAGCAGGAACCAGAAGTTGGAAACTCTTAGGGAACATTGCTTTATGCATAGCAGGCAAGACATTTACTGAATTTTTTGTTACTTTTAAATAATCATGTTTCACATAGAGGCATAATCCACGGGGAAATGGCAAGCTATGATTTCTTGAAATTTGAAACACCCCAGCCTCACATGTTAATGACTTCTGTTCATCAGGATCTGAAGCAATGTTTGCTGATCTAGGACATTTTTCGAAGAAATCCATCCAGGTATGGACATAAAAGCAATGCATTTGTGTATGTGTGGCAATGCAAGAGTGGGGGTTGGTTGGGTTGGGGGGGGGATGGGAATGAGAGATGCATAATATATTTTGATTTTCATGAATGATTTTTTGGATAACGCAGGTCACATTTGCCCTAATAATATACCCCATCCTTGTAATTAGCTATGCCGGACAAGCTGCATTTATCTCCTCACATTTAGGTGCATCTCCTGATGTTACGCATCTTAGCGAATCTTTACCCAACAGTAGTAAGTTCTGTCTTCTTATTAATGTGATTTTGTTTTCCCTAAGGTAGTGTTTGGGAGCTAAATTTCATTTCAATTCCAAAATTTGAATTCTTGAATTTCAAATGACAAGGGGAGGAATATGGATTTCAAATTGAGCTCTGTTATGAATTAGGTTAGTGTTTATGAACTAGCATTTCATTTCAATTCTTGCATTTCAATTTCAAAACTTGAATTCCTGAATTTCAAATGACGAGAGGAGACACAAGGATTTGCAATTGAGCTTTGCAATGAACTAGAGGAATTTGCCTCAAATTCGAATCCAAAATTTTAAGATTTCCCGATCATAGAATTTGAGCCAAATCCGGATTTGAAATCCAAATTACAGTTCCCAAACATGCCGTAAATTTATTCCTCCCCCTACCTTTCCACTTCTTGGCTTGTGAAGCACGCATTGAAATTCAGGAAATCTTCATCATGTTTTCACGGTACTATCCCTAGTGGCATCTCTTGTGGGTAGCCAGGCTACCATTACGGCAACTTATTCAAGCATAAACCAATGTCAAGCACTGGCCTGCTTCCCAAGAGTTAAAGTTATCCATACGTCAGATAAGATATACGGCCAGGTTTATATTCCTGATATGACATGGATTTTGATGGCTCTAAGTTTAGGTATCACACTCGGTTTGCAGGATATACCTGCTATTGCCAATGCTACAGGTGTGCAAATGCTTCTTCTCATTCAATTCAAATACAAATGAATCAATGGGCAAAAAAAAAATTAACAGTCTTTTATTTCGTATATTTATGTATCATAATTTATGAGAAAAAATGTAAAATTGTGTGGTTGAAAGTCATGTAGAGGAGAGAAAAATTACAAGGACCAAAGATATCTTTCTAAAAGGGGAAAGTGGAACTTTTTTTTGAGACGAATGAAAAAGGAAATGTGAAACCTTTTAATGGGACAAAGGGAGTATATAAATATAAAATATACGTTGAATTTTAGGCCCCGTTTGGTATACAAAATTCAAACTATGGAATTGGAATTGAGGACTTCAATTCCAATTAGGTAGTGTTTGGCAACTAGCATTTCATTTCAATTCTGCATTTCAATTCCAAAATTTGAAATTCAGAATTTCAAATGACAAGGGGAGGTGCATGGATTTCAAATTAAGCTTTGTTTTGAATATAAAGAATTTGATTCAAATCCAAATTTAAAATGCTTAAGTTTCCCAAACATGGAATTTAGGCCAAATCCGGATTTGAAATCCAAATCCATGTTCCCAAACATACCATAAAGGTGTTTGGTAGCACAAAAATTATGTGAATTTGGAATCGATAGTGCAAAAAATGAATTAGAATTGGTGAATTCAATTCCATGGAATTTAAATTCCAATTCAATTCCAATTCCATCAATTCCGTGTACCAAACGGACCCTTAATAACATGAATATTTTATTTTTTATCTTGTATCTATTATCATATGCACCACATTTTACTGCTGCCAGGTTTAACAGTTATTTGTGGGATGTTAGTCACTTCTTGTCTTATGGCACTTGTAATTGCGCTCTACTGGGAGAGAAGCCTATTCTTCTCAGTCTGCTTCTTGTTAGCCTTCGGCACGGTTGAAGTCGTGTACCTCTTCTCTTGTCTGATGAACTTTTCCAAGGGAACCTGGTGCGTCCTCATACTCGCCACACTCTTTCTGACCACAATGCTGTCATGGCACTACGGCACTGTTAAGAAGTACGAGTTTGACCAAGAAAACAAGGTTGCCTTGGATTGGCTGACCGAATTCAGCCCCGGATTGGGTGTTAATCGGATTCCGGGCATTGGGTTTATTTACACGGATCTCTCGACGGGCATCCCTTCGTTCTTCTCCCATTTCATCGCAAACATCCCAGCATTTCACCAGCTTCTAGTCCTCGTGTCCTTCAAGCCATTGCCCGTGCCCTACATCCCCCCCAAAAGGAGATACCTTATTGGCAGGGTGGGACACAAAGAGTTCAAAATTTACCGGTGCATTGCCTGCTACGGGTACTGTGACCCAATGAGGGACACCAATGATTTTGAAGACCAAGTCATTACTTCCATCGGCGAGTTCATTTCCAGGGAGGAAAATGGCAGTCATCAGGAAGTGATTGCCTCCCCAGAAGGAAGGATGATTGCCTTGGGAGGACACAATGCCTCAAGCGCTCTGATTCCTGTGGAGGACATTGATGAGATTCCACATGCCTCAACTGACATTGAAAGCCCAAGAAGCCCTCTGAAGGGCACCCCTCCCCAAAGGAGAAAGAGGGTCCGGTTCGTGCTGCCCCATGGGAGTCCCAGGGAGAACCCAGCCATGAGAATGGAGCTGCAGGAGCTAGTTGATGCCCGGGAAAACGGGGCCGCGTACTTCTTGGGAAAGTCAAACTTAACGGTGCGCGAAGGGTCAAACTTTTTCAAGCGGTTCCTTGTGATGAATTATATCTTTCTGGACAGGAATTGCCGAGAGCCTCCGGTTGCCCTGAACATACCTCATGCTGCTCTGCTGGAGGTTGGGATGCCTTATGTGATCTGATATGTGTATGTGCACAGTTTAGTGTAACATTATGTTTTCATAGCTCTATGTACATTGACATGTAGCTGAATATGATCTTACTGTAATTGTAATGTACCCAGAAAGAATGAATGAAAGAAAACACACAGTGCAAATTTTACACGAAGTATTATACTTATTACAATTACAATTATTGTTGTAATTGTAAAATAAAATGGTTATAATTGATTCTATTTATTTTTTTATAAAATAAAATAGTAAAAACTACACTTAACGATATTGACAATTTACAATTAGGTATTGGCCTGAGCCTCTTGGTTCCTAGTACCATTGGAGGTGGCACCGCAACGTTGGAAGTTTTAGTTGGAGGAATGGTAACACTAGCAATGCACCATTATATAAGATGATATACCAACGTACTAGAACAAAGTTGGAGTCTCTCATATATATACCCAACGATGTACTCCATAATTTAATGAGCCATATTACTAATCCAATATTTCAACATGGTATCGGAGCCATCGTTTTTGGTGACCTAAAAGAGTTCTTTGCTTCCGTCACTGCCGCCGGAAATTCCGGAGACAGCAGCTCCACCTTATTCACCTTTATTTTCTTTTCTTTCTTTTATTCTCAAATCAACTTCTTCATTCAAATGAAAAAATGAAAAAAACTCCTGTTGAAATCACACAAAAAAAACTATCAAAGGAAGAACTTCTCTCTTGTCATCTCCATGGTTCTTCAAAAAAAAACCCCAACTTCTCACGAACTCTCTCAACTCATCATGTATCTTCTCAAAATCATGGAAAAAATGATAGTTGTTTCTCTACAATTCACAATCGAAGATTCTCATACCTAGATCTTTTTTCATCACCAATTCTTAATCCCCCATTTTCTCTCTCAAACCACCCATTCTAATCATCAATCTTTCTTCTCTTTCTCTTGTGTTAACCAATAAAATTCAAAAAAAAAGACAACACAAAAGCAAAGCCAAAAGGGGAAGTAGTGAAAGAGGAAAGAATACCTCTACACCCCTTCTGGAAAAAATAGGGCATTGCCCGGATCTAAGAAAAAAACAAAGAGTGTCAAGGATTCAGTCAAAGAGGCATCTTGAATAACCTTCTCTATTCTTCTCTGACATCAGCAGCTACAAGCGCACGCCAACCTTCTCTCTTTTTCTTCGACATCAACAGCTACCAGTAGCGCATGTCAATCTGATACGAAACCGTATCGGGGAAAGAAGGCTCAGAGCGCCTCCGAGCTCGTAAGAAGAAGAAGAGAGAAAGAGACGGGAAGGGGAAGGCAGCAGCAGACCGTGCGTGAAGAGAGAGAGAGAGAAGTAGGGTTTAGGGTTTTTGATATTACTTGGTAATGGTAGGGAATACACTGTTACTTAAATAGAAACCCCAATACCTAAAACTACGTTTTCTATCCTGACGGTTCAAAGAAAAGCGACGAGGTAAGGAATCGTAAAGAAACCCTCGAAGAAGCTTATAAATTGCTCACCTAGGAAAATCTAAATTACAATAATTAAATAAAAGTTTAATGCATCTCAAAATCCTTTTGCCACGCCGGGGCACGCCTATGCCGCGTACCCGTTCTCCTTTCGGTGTGTGATGGCAAACTCTCGCTCGTCGGGCCGACCGTATCACTCTCCCTTCCATCAGAAACCACATTGTCCTCAATGTGTAAATGGGGATAATGTTCACAGATGAGGGCAGCCGGCTCCCAGGTAGCATCGTCCAATGATCCATCGCTCCATGAAACTAAGAATTGCTCCTCCCGAACCCCATGCCGCAGCACCCAATGGGTGGCGTGAAGCTGAACCGGATGGGACGGTGGGCGGCCATCCACTAAGTCGTCTGGTAGGGGAAGCACACCGGAGTTCGTATCTTGTCCAAGAAATGGTCGCAGCACCGAGACATGGAAGACCAGGTGAATGCGCGCGCTATCCGGTAATTTCAGACGATAAGCCACCGGGCCGACACGCTGTAGAACTTCAAATGGGCCATAGTAGTGCAGTGCTAGCTTCTGTGAGGATCTCCGAGCAACGAAGTGCTGTCGGTAGGGTTGTAGCCATAACAAGACCCAATCGCCGACCTGGAACTCCACCTCCCTTCGTTGTCGATTCGCCTGCAGCTTCATACGGACCTGGGCAGCCTGTAAATTAGCCCTTAAGCGCCGCAGCAGGGCATCCCGTTCTGCCAATAGATCATCCACCGCCTGGACTTTACTCTCCCCCCGATTATAAGGAACGAGATCCGGAGGGGGCCGACCATAAAGAGCCTGAAAGGGGGTGACCTGTAAACCGCTATGGACGCTCGTGTTAATGGAATATTCTGCCCACGGAAGAAGGACTATCCAACGCTTGGGGCGTTCATGGACGAACATGCGTAGATATTGCTCCAGTGTACGGTTAAGAACCTCCGTTTGACCATCCGTTTGCGGATGGAAGGCCCTACTGTGCTTCAACGTTGTACCACTTAAGGAATGCAATTCTTTCCAAAAATTACTTAGAAAGATCCGATCACGACCCGAAATAATAGAGCGGGGAAACCCATGTAACTTGATGACCATGTCGGTGAATAGATAGGCCGTACGGTGGGCGTTGAAGTCGCTCGGTAAGGGACCAAAATGGGCATACTTTGTGAGTCGATCAACCATGACCAAAATAACCGAGGATCCTCGAGAGGGTGGCAACCCCGTAACAAAGTCCATACTGATATCCTCCCAAACTCGATGTGGAATAGGTAACGCCTGTAGGAGACCCCCCGGAGGTTGGGTGGAGTACTTCGCCTGTTGACACGTGGGGCAGCCCTGGACATAATCCCGTACAGTGGTGCGCATCCGGGTCCAATAGAACGTCTGGGCTAAACGCAAAAAGGTACGGTGAATGCCCGTATGACCCCCGATGTGCGAATCATGGTATTCCTTCAATAACTCCCGGCATAACGACGAATTTTCCCGGAGCAGACCATCCACCACTGTGAAAGGAGGCGGCAGCACCCCCTGCCTGTGTAACGCATGCATGCGTGCCAGGTCAGGCTGGGTTGCGTTTTCCTCCCGAATGCGGTTCATGATTGCCGGGATCGGTTGGGTGAGGGCCGAAAATTCAGCAGCGGTGCCATCATCACCCCGACGCGACAATGCGTCTGCCAGAGTATTAGAGCGACCCGGTTTGTACTCAATTTGAAAACCGAATCCTAACAGCTTTCGGGCATAAAATTGTTGGTCAGGTGTCTGAACTTGTAACGCCCCGAAAACCGGCTTAGTAGTTAGCCGTAATTTTATTAAAAATAAAATAAAAATTTATTTACTCAAAAACATGAATTAATTGTGAAGTTATCCGTTTTAAATGAAAATTGGGTTTTCGGGTAGATCTCATAAAATGGTGACCAACGATATATAGTTTGTTAAAATTAGACATACGTATGAAGCATGGTGAGTAAAATAGACATTACAGCTCAATAAATAAATATAAGGGTTTTATAATAAAATAATAAAAAAGAAAATATCCTAAACTAACCTACTCCTACCGTGATACGAAAATCCCCTTCCCACCCACGTATCTATTAAGTATATATATATGGGTATTACGTATATGGAGGAGGAAGTATTACTCAGTCGCGAGTTGCACACGGAGTAATTGCCCGGATCGAAGGAAGGACGACGAACAGAGCCGCACGAACTGGTTTGGAAGGGAGACTCCTAACCACCGTTGCTCCGCCGTCGGAGTTAGCTGCCGCATCGCCGCTGCTGTGACGCCGGTTCACCGCCGCCATCCTCTTCCTTTGTTGATTTATTTGATTTGTTTTAACCCGCCAATTAATTGAGGCCAGAACTTGCACATCTAACGCTAGATTTCGTATATAGATTTGAAATACACGTTCGTAGTTTCGTATGATTGATTACATGGTTTATCTGTTTATAGTTAAATTGTGATTTATCTATGTTATATGTTATTGTTGTAATTGATTGAACGAGGACGACCAGGTATGCTTTCTTATTTTCAATTGGCATGATTTGCATGATAATAATCTTTAAAAACATAATACGTAATGAATGATTTGGAATTGGATCAAACTGAGTTGTCTTAGGAAATTCCCGACGCCAAACGGTAGCCTGGTACCGCCTAACGGTACCCAGCTACCGCCTCAGGCTCATTGCTGTTGCCGGTACATAAGTGAGACGGTCGGACGGTACCGTACTAACGCTACCCAGGTACCGCCTGGCGGCACCGAGGTACCGTGAAGGGTACTGTACCAGCAGCTGCAAATCTCCGTTGTTTGACTGTTTGACCCAATTTGGAATCTGAATTGACTTTGAGCCCTTATGTGTTGCATGACGGTAAATGGAAGGTGTTTACACCCGACATTAGGCCGCTATTTGGATTGCATGATGATTTATTTAGCTATTTCTATTCTCTTGATTTATAATGGGTATAATGTGATATGCCTTGTACGTATAAGGTAAATTGAAGTTGTTGTTAGCTTGGATCTGTATAACTGAAGTAAGCTAATGAGATAGGTTACCTAGATGAATTATGGGTAGACCGAGGAAACAAAATAAGGATACAGTTAGGAATAACTGGTCATGTGATTAGCCGGCGTGCACGCATGATCAGTTGGGTAGAGCGTGCGCACGGGGGTCGTAGATCTGCTCATGGATGTGAGTAGGTGGTCCCACCCAGCCGACGTTGGATGACGTCGTATCGAGCGGGTTCTTCCATGGATGTGGTTGGATCAGGACTCTAGAATAAAGTAGTTGGCCTTAGCCTAGGATAGGTTATGAGCCTAGAAATAAAGAAGTGGATTATGAGATTAGTTTGTTATTTATGGTAATTATGCTTAACTGATGAATTATATGATATTATTGATGTTGTACTTATGTGCATGATATTGTATGGAATTATGAGCTAGTGGGTTCGTCTATGTGTGTAGTCGAAACGTTAGATAGTTCCACTCAGCTTCAATGCTGAGCGTGTAGCCCTTTTTCCTATTTCAGGAACAATGAATAATGAGACGGTCTTGGAGGCGGCGAGGGTGAAGAGATGGATGGATGCTAGCTGGAGGAGTTTATTATTTAATATTTAAGTTTGAATTATTGTATTCTTAAGGGCAAGAACCCAAAGTTGTATTTTGATTAAGTACTTAAAGGCTTCCGCACCGTTTTGTTAACTTTGATGGATATTTAAATATTGTTTTGAATTAAATATTTTTAAATTGTTTTGAAAATTATTGCGTTTGAATGCCAATTTAGTAGCAACCCGATTTGCTGATCCTTGTATTCGGGTCACGCGGGTTGGGGTGTTACAGAACTACCTGTTGCAATAACTCCTTCAAACTCCGCTGATCCCTTCATATCAGAAATTCCCTGCCCAACAGATACTGTCGCCATTTGTGCACGGCCGCTACAATCGCGTATAATTCCTTGTGGTATGTGGATGCCGCTAGTCGTCGTGGACCCAACTTCTTGCTAAAATAGGTGATGGGTTGCTCTTCCTGGAGTAACACGGCAGTACGGAACCAATACCCGTGGCAGATGCGTCGGTGTCGACCAAAAAACGGAGGGAAAAATCAGGCAACCGAAGGATTGGGGCGGTGGAGAGGGCGTGTTTCAGAGAGTTGAACGCCTGGGTAGCCGCGGGATACCATGTGAACGAATCCTTCTTCAAAAGATATGTGAGGGGTGCTGCGAGGTGCGCGTAGTGATGGATAAACCGTCGGTAGTAACCGGTAAGACCTAGAAAACCCCGAAGTTGACGAACACTGGTCGGTAATGGCCACTCCACCATGGCGACAATCTTTGAGAGGTCTGCCTGGAGCTTTCCTTCGATTATAACATGGCCCAAATATTCAATTAAAGTGGTACCAAAGGAGCACTTCGAAAGCTTGACGAAGAACACATGAGAACCCAACAAGTGCAAGACCACCTCCAAGTGTCGAGCATGGGTCTGCAAGGACGGGCTATATATCAAGATATCATCGAAAAAAACAATGAAAAAACACGAAAGGTATGCCGCAAACAAGCGGTTCATGCACACCTGGAATGTAGACGGGGCGTTCGTTAGCCCAAACGGCATGACCCGAAATTCCTAATGGCCCTCATGAGTTCGGAAGGCAGTCTTGTAGATGTCCCTGTCATGCATACGTATCTGGTGATACCCGGAACGCAAGTCGAGCTTGGTGAAATAACGGGCAGCCCCTAATTCGTCAAAGAGCTCATCGGCGGTAGGGATAGGAAAGTGATCGGGGATGGTAACGGCATTCAAAGCTCGGTAATCCACACAGAAACGGTATGTCCCATCCTTCTTCTTAACAAGTAACACCGGGGAAGAAAACGGGCTCCGACTAGGTTGAATTAACCCTTGGTCTAGCATTTTGCGCACCAACCGTTCAATCTCATTCTTCTGGAACTGGGGATAACGATATGGCCTCACATTGACAAGTTTGACGCCGTGTTGCAAAAAATAAGGTGATCATGAAGACGGCGTGGCGGTAAGCTGGACAGCTGGGCGAATACGGCCCGATGTTGCTGCAGTACGGCTGAGATTTCCGGGGTAAGTCTGCTGGAAAACACACTGGCTGCTCCAAAGTATCCGTAGATTGTGGCGTCACCACAATCTCGTAGCATTCGGCGATGTACTAGCTGGCATGCAGTGTATAAAAATTATGAAGTGACAGCGGACGTGGCGACAAACTATCCCCCTGGAGTGTAACCGGCTTGCCCTGCCAAACGGAATCCATAGTTAATTTATCATAATCATGAGTGACCTTACCGAGGAGGCGTAGCCATTGAACGCCCAACACCATGTTTGGACCATGAATCGGAAGCACAAATACATCCACTGTAAACTGGAAGCCCTGCAATAGTATGTCGATGCTACAGCACTGATGGGTGCATACCAATGACACACCGTTTCCCACGTAAACCCGGAAAGGGGTGACCTCGAAAATTGGCAGATGTAACTTCTCAACAATCGTGGGCTGGATGAAATTGTGGGTACTACCACTTTCAATCAAAACATTGACCACGACCTCCGAAAGCATGCCCGACAGCCGCAGGCAGCGTGGGGCAGACACGCCGGCGAGACTATGGAGGGAGGACACGTCCGCGCAAATCATGGTATCATCGGCCATGGACGGGGTGCTGTCCTCTGTGTCCTCATCGTCTTCAATCAATAATAAGAACCGCTTACAATGATGGCCTTTAACCCATTTTTCATCACAATTGTAACAGAGCCCTTTAGCATCACGTTCCTTTTTTCAGCAAAAGAGAGCCGGCGAATAGGAGGGTTAGCTGCAACCTGCGCGCCGGGTAGAGGCTTCGATCCAGGTGTGGGCAGGAGAGGGGCCTGTGATGGTGCACCGTACGGCTTGGCCCCGCCAGAGTCCCGAAGTGGGGTGGGTCGGTGGGATAAAGTAGCTGTCCACGCTTGATGTTTCAACTCGAACTCCTGAGCCCGAGCAAAAGAGGCGGAAAGAGAATCTGGTTTATGCAATATCACGTCATGCTATAAGTGTGGCTTCAACCCGGGATGAAACAGGGATTGAAGATGAGCCTCATCGACGTTTGTAACGTTCACCAAAACCTTCTTGAAAGCCTCTTGATAGGCCAAAACTTTCCCCGTCTGTTGAACCATCCATATATATCAAAAGTGTAACACCCTAATCCGTCCAGGTCTGCAACCCCTTTTGGACTAAAGTATTAACTTGGTAACGTAAAAATTTCAAACATTTAAAAACTTTATTTCAACAATTGTACTAAATATATATTTCATAATAACATCAGAGTAAAATTATTTAAAATAGTGCGGAAGCAATTTGCAAACTACAACAGTATGGTCAACCATGTGATAAAATCATTTTCTTAAATAGTAGATTTTGTGCACGTCCACGCATCACCTCCATCTCAGTAATCTCCAGAATAAGCTCCATATTTATTCTCTCTCATACCTACGTGTAGAAAGATGAAAAAGTCTACACGCTGAGCAATGAAGCTGAGTGGTACCATGGCACAACAAAAGAACTCACAGAATAATTTCTTAAACAATCCAATCACATATATATGTTCAAATATATTTGTTTTTTTCATATCTAAATCCATCTTTATTAATTTAACAAGGATAATGAACATAGTCGATTCTTAAATATCATCATTCAAACTTATACAATAATCACATGTCACTTTTGTTATCACAATATTCATCATTTGTTACACATAATTTCATATCAAATTTTATCACAATGTGCTCCTAACTTATTCCAAGTTAAGGCTAAATTATATCAATATTCTTAAACTATTTTTAGTCTAAGTCAAATTAATATTGATAACATAGCTCTTAAACTATAACTAGTCTAAGGCAATATTTCTAACCAGGCCCTTAAACTATAAATAGTTTAATGCAGAACACAAGAATCGATAATCTACCCTATGAGTCACGTGGATTACGTACCAAACCGAACAGTGATCTGTCGGGTGGGTGATATCCGGTCAGGATCCCGTACGTACGTTTTAACCCCGAATCATGAATTGGTCAAGGAGGTATATCTTAGAGTTCTTCTAGATATCCTTAATAATCATTATCAATTTTCCAAATGGGTATATCTTAGAGTTCTTCTAGATATCCTTAACAATACACATCATTTTCATAATCATCAATATATTCATTTTTAAGCATGATTTAATCATTCATAATTATTACTTTAATAAGAATATTCATCAAAGTCTGATCATAAACAACATCAATAACAATCATCACAATATTCAATAACAAATAGCGGCCTAGCATCGAGTGTTAATACCCTAGCTTATCGTCATATATCATATAAGGTTCTTTAGTTGTCCAAACATCATTTTTTTATACTCTAAAACACATTGTCTTTGTATTGATGTATCAAAAATATGATTTTATATCTTCAAAAATAGCATTTTCGGACATAAAATGTTCATAATGGTCGACCGTTGGATCCGCACAGTCGTTCGCATGAAAAACGGAGTTACTATTCATCATCTTCAACCTTCGATCTAATTTCTCAAAACACCATAAAAGCTTCTAGGCTTTAAACTAACTTTATAAAAATGTTTTCTAACATCCATAGATCACTCACAAACAATTTATTTGAAACTTTAACAACAAAACACTTTTGGTGATTATGTATGTCAAAATATTTATATTTTCAAATATATATGAATCAATAAGTTCAAGGATCATTCCAATGCCTTCTAAAGTTGTTTAAAATCATGGTACAGACCTGGAAATCGACGAGATGAAGCTCAACAAACGAACGTGAGCGAAAACAACGTCGGAAATCACAAAACCCGTCACTTCCCGTCACCACTGTACCAGCCCCGGTTTTCGGGCCATATCTCCTTCGTTACTCAACGAAATTGTGAACCGTTTGAAGCTACGGATTTGTAAGACATAAGAAGCTACAACTTTTGTTTAGAAACCAGATTAAAATAATGACGTTTAGAGGGTGTAAAAATGATCACAAGCGGGCTGATTTGCATAGGGAATGTTTTCTTCATTCAACTTTTTGGGGCAACTTCCGGCAAGAGTCGTGGCTACCTCCGGCGACTTCGTCCGTAGCGATCACTCGCGGCCTGCTCTCCTCACAACAAGGAATAGAATGGAAAAAGAATGGGAGATAATGATGTACAATTTAAAGAGTTGAGTGCCTCTTTATATAGGGTGATGGAGGAGAGAAGAAGCCAAATATGGTGATGATTTTGGTGATTTTGGTTGATCTTGAAAATCCTTCAATACGGCAGTGGTGGAGGTAGTGGGATTATATATGATTCTGCACTGACTTTGACAAATTTTATCCCAGTTGGGGTACAATTTTTAGTCCAACCTTCTCGAAATTGAAATCTCGTTGTACCGTTACGGTGAGACAGTCAAGCTCTACGCGACAATATAATTTTCACAATTTTTTGGAATACTTTTTATGACACCATATTTTTGGGTGTTGAATTTGACAGAGTCAAAATTGAATTAATTGACATATAATTAAAAGTTCTCTCATATTCAATCAATATTGTTCAATTTAAATAATTTATTTCAATATATCATTTTACAAAAGTTCACATCTTTGACCACTTCTCATTTTTATGCAAATTACATATTTAAAATGTCACAACTCAAAATCTGTACATTAGATTTGTTCATAAAATATATCGTTGGGTTTGTCTCTTCGAGACCTATTCATAAAAGTCAATTTTAACAAAAATCATTGACTCCAAAAATTCCTTCCTTTTTGGTCAAACATAGAAATAATGTTTCGTTGGGTCAAAATATTGTTTCTAAACTACTTTTATTATAGAATAACTTTTAGACCATGTTTTGGGGCGTTACATTTCTTCCCCCTTTAAAAGAATTTCGTCCTCGAAATTCATCTAAGGCTCAACGATCAATATCTTGTTGTATTCTCGTTAAATCATGATTGTGTCACGTTCATTCATTATGATTACGTCGTTATCCCTACGGATATTTATTCTCAAACCGTTAATGTCATCATACTCGTTCTATCTTCGAGAGATTAACGAAGGTATTCATCAATCCTTTTACAGATTCGCGTTTGAAGTCAATGTCAATAAATAAGTTTCCTTTGCATCATATTTTGGAGTATACTCGACATATTTGCACATAACTTTGTTTATTCACAGATCTCGTTTCTACGACATTGGTAAATAATATTCTTTCTTTGATCGAAAGCTCTTCAATAGCCCTTGAAGTTTCAAATCATTATATTAACGGAAGGTATAGTTAGGGATTTGTTTCAATTCATTCGTCATAGTGTAATCTTCTAAGTCTTTAAGACATCTTCAGCAACGACTCGTAGATAACATCAAATGGATTTTATTAGTTCATGATTTTCATAAGATGAAGCATCATTTATGAGGAAGTACTATCGATCGATTGTACAGTAGCTTGTCACCAACGATCTTGCGTCGAAACATCTCTTCGTTCACTTCATGGTAGTTCTCATTATTGTCAATGAGTCTTTGTATTAATTCACACTCATAGGTGTTGACGTTTAAGTGGCGTCTCATAAACGTCTTGTCATTTTCAACTTTCTTTCTTCGATTTTGGAAGTATATCAAGATACCTTCATGATAGTGACATGTTTGATTTTAAAACTATGGTTGATCTTGTTTCGGGGAAGGAAGAGAATATCTTTGGTATGTGATTCAATTCCTCGAATTTATAGAGTAAGGAATCTTACTAATTCTTACACCAACATCGCATATAGTTTCAGAATTTATGCTTGAATGATTCAGCTTGATCCTTATGACGTCATTTTTTATCTAGTTGTTGCACATACATTCCCTTGTTAGGGTCAAAACAGAGTTTCTTGATCATCTATATGTTAAGATAAATCAAACAAGATCACACATGACTATATTTATGCTTACACATTGAGAGAATTTGATGAGTCAAAGTGCTTAGATGAACAGTTGCAAAAATCAAAACTTGATGAATACTCCGGGACGGAAGGAGTATTATTTATTTTGTGTTAATTATATGATAATTAAAGTTGACAAAATAAATTGGAAGCTTCCTTAAAATGATTTTTGAAATTACCTAAGTTGAATAGGAATGTGATTTGATTTCCTTCCTAAACTCTAAAAGGTACCTTCCTATTAGGAATATGAATGGGGATTATGCTCCTTATAAATATGAGATCATCCCAACCCTTTCTATTACTTGGAATTTTTGGCCCTAGCAAATATTTAAGAGAGAAAATTTGTTTTGTTCTCTATTAATACTTTACGCCAAATATTTTATATTTTAGAAATATTCTAGAGTAAAATTACTAGCATATATTTCTCTAGAACAATCTTCATTAATCGTGTGTCTCAACTGGAGGTCATATACATTTGTGGCTAGCTCTTGGATCAATCTATCAATCTACACATCGTTGCTTGCTTGCCAAGAAAGGTATATTTCTTAACAATAACTTATAATAATCATAAGAGGTCTTGGGCGGATCTATGTTTGGACAGTAAAATTTTTTTTTTCTGCTTCCCTTTACAAGCGTAGTACCCAACATAACGTCCTAGCTGTCCAGTGCATAATGCCCTCGCTTTCCAGTGCATAATGTCCTCGTTGTCTAGTGCTTAATGTCTTCATACAACAAGGTTGTTTGAAGATATAGAAATTTATTTTCAGCTTTTTTTATTCTGTATTATTCTGAACAAGTTATAAATTTAGAATTTTATTTATTTTTTATTTTCCGGGGCTGTTCATCTTCCCCGTCTGTTGTAATCTGTACGAGAATTGTAACAATCTTAAGGTTAGTCATATCCGTGCACGATGGCGGGGATGGACGGTTTCGTTTTTGACGCTCACTTTGGAAACGGGAGTAGTTCCGAGACTCTGGTTGTGAACGTTTGGGCTGGATTGGGTGGCTCTGTTGGGCAGACCATGTTAGAATAAAGGCCCAACGCTAGAGGGGGGGTGAATAGCGTTTAAAACAAAATCGCAGGAAATTAAAAACGAGAGCGTAAAAGTAAAGAGCGTAAGGAAGGAGCACACCGAATTTTATCTTGGTTCACCACAACGTGTGGCTAATCCAGCCTCCCGAGAGACTCTCTCGAGCTACACTAACTCCGTTAAGCTTAAGGGTGCTTAACAAACCGATACAACTTGAGAACCCGAGTCACACGAGCCTCACCACCTTTGCTTGGAGATACCGCACTCCAAGACTTCTCACGAAGAAACAAAGAACTTCCTTCGAGTTTACAACAAGGGAACAACCTCCCTTAAAGTGTATAAAAACACTTAAACGCTCAGGAATAAAACTCTCACAAAGAGTAGATATGAGTGAACTAGTATACGCTCAAGAACACGACAATTTCTTCAAGAATGGGCTCTCAAATAGCTAAGAAAAATAAGAATGATTATGCAATGAAAGAGTATTGAAAATGTTGAAGAATTGTGTTTAGAATGAGAGGATTTGGGTGCCATTTTATAGCCCAAAATGGGATAAAACCGTTGCTAAATTTTCCAACAGGATGAAGACAAATTTTTCAGAGTTGCAGGGTGATAATCGATTGTCTAGACATGATAATCGATTATTAAAAGATTCCCTGTCCAAAAGTTTAAAAATCTATCCGTTGGAGGACAACGGTAACCCAGATAATCGATTGTCTACAAGTGATAATCGATTATTGGTCCTCTTAGAAGATTCTGGGTTTTTGGCTGCAAAGACTGATAATCGATTATTGCATAAGTGATAATCGAATATTGAGTGCTTCAGAACTTTGGAAGTTCAAAGCTGCAGGGGCTGATAGTCGATTGTCACTAAGGTGATAATCGATTATCACCCAGCTAAAGTCTAGCCAGCTGAAACCCGTTTTGAAAAGCCGAGGTCCAAAAAAGAAGTGTTCCCAAAAGTAAAAACCAAGTTTGAAAAACATTGTATATGGTATAAAATAGTGAAAACAAGACTTGTTCGGTAGAAACCAAGTCTCCAAGGTCGTACATCACGTGCGTACGGTTTTGACCGTTTTTCACGTGTTAGACCGATTGACCAAGATACAAAAGTGGTTTTTATGAAATAATTATTTGGGAACCTTTTAAATATGCTCAGATATAAAAACGAGGTTTAAAACATTGAAAACCACCGAGTTGGTTCGGGCGCCAAAAACCGAACGCCGAACACCGTACGCCGACTTAGGTGATTTTGGTTCTGAGCAAGGACCAGGGATTTTAACAATTAAAAGANCAAGTCTCCAAGGTCGTACATCACGTGCGTACGGTTTTGACCGTTTTTCACGTGTTAGACCGATTGACCAAGATACAAAAGTGGTTTTTATGAAATAATTATTTGGGAACCTTTTAAATATGCTCAGATATAAAAACGAGGTTTAAAACATTGAAAACCACCGAGTTGGTTCGGGCGCCAAAAACCGAACGCCGAACACCGTACGCCGACTTAGGTGATTTTGGTTCTGAGCAAGGACCAGGGATTTTAACAATTAAAAGATTTATCTAAAATGTTTATTTTGATGCATAAAAACATTTTATGATATTGTAAAATAATTTTGACTCTTTGAGAACCGAGACTTGAAAATTGATTGTCGGTTTTGATCACAAGAGACCGACTCGACTAAGTCTTCAATTTTTGATCTTGTCCTTGAGTCTTTTTGGTCTTGTTCCATGCCATTCTTCACACCTTGAGTTATTCAGTGAAACTCTTCATATCCACGGCGGTTTGGCAATTATCAAAACCTGTCAGAAATGAACACGACTTTAGTTAAACATACAAAGTGTGTTCCAACAATTTCCCCCTTTTTGATAATGGCAAACAAGACGGGGATATGCATAGGGTTTTGATATTTTTGAAAAAAAAAATTCCCCCTTAATAAAATTCCCCCTGAAAATATGCATAGCCCTTATCTTCCCCCTTTTGACATTAACAAAAAGATTTAATAACAAAAACCATAAAGATTTTTATTAATTGATTAAGGGAAATAGAGGAGTACATAAAGGAAGCAAATTTAAAAAGCATAATAAATAAAGAAGAGATGATTGGAATGAGTAAAAAATGGAGTAGATGTCACCAATTTATAGTGGAAGAGGCTTAGAGATCCGTTGGGGTGGTCAAACAAGGATTAAATGCTCTGCCAACGTCTCTGCAACGGTCAGATTTTTGAAAGATCACCGTTGTAAATCGATTTACACTCCCTGTAAATCGATTATTTGAAACCTCTGATTCTCCGCTGAATGATCTGCGGTCTTCAATAGTCGATTTTCACGTTTGTGTAAACCGATTGTTGGAGTTTCCAGCTGAGTTGCCTCAACCTTCTGTAGGGTCCGATAATCGATTATCCCAATGATGATAATCGATTGTTGAGGTTTGCGCCTGTTTTGCTCCAAACTTCTGCGGACAGTGATAATCGATTATCTCAAGGTTGTAAATCGATTTACACTCAGTCCTGGGAACTTGAAATCGATTTCTTTTGTTCCCCCTGGCTTCAACACCTACAATGAAAACATTTTGGTACCCGTTTGGTCTTTTGGGTCCTTGAGGATTAGTAACACGACTTTTTAAACTAATAAACACACGCACCTATAATCACATACACACGGTACGCAAACACACACACACACAGGTACCATCACGCGTGTTTAAGTGTTACCTTGGCCAACTCGTCGTTTTGCGGTTGGCGGGTTCCAGTCTACTCGAACTGAATGTCTATACCTTGGTTTGATTTGTGTGGGTTCCAGAAGTGGTATGTGAATCTTCTTCTTTTCATCATAATAGAAGAAGTAGTATGGTTTCTTTTGCATTGATTCCTGCAGGGATTGGTTAGAGCTCGAATATCCTTTTTCAAAGGATTTCATTAGGTTAGTTCCATGCAAAGTGTGTGTTTTGTTATACGTGCAATGCCTATGCCTACTAAAACACACGGGTGCTATATGACCTATCCTATTGCAATAATGACAAATAACATTTGGATTATGCATTCTCCTAGGTTGATAATAGTTGCTAGGTTTTCTAACTTGACCATTGTTCATCCTAGTGTTCTTTCTAGGTGATCTAGTGTTCCTAATTGTTCTAGGTTGTCTATTTTCTTGATTTTCATTATTCCTAAGTTGAGCTTTAGGTTTCCTAGATGGTTGCTCAGCTTTTTCCTTATTATTAGTTTCATTTTCAAAACCTAAGCCATGTTTAGTAAGTTGAAAATTGTCAAGAACATCATTAAGGTTTTTATGAGAAACACCAAACTTCTTCAAAGTTCCTTCAAGTTTTGCAACTTGTTCCTTAAGTGATATACAAGAACTACATTTTGAACTTTCCGGTTTGTCGGCGCTTCTTTTTCCGAAAAACTTATTTTCTTCTTTAAGTTTTTCATTATCTTTTGATAGTTTATCAACTTCCTTCTCCATGGAAGTAAGTTGTTTCTTCAAATCCTTGTTAATTTTAGAAGCGTTGACATATTCATCATAAAGTTCATTAAAGGCTTCTTGTACATCATCAAAAGTATAGGAATCTTTAGAAGTGGTACATACATCTTCTGGTGGTTCCTCGTGTTCCATGAGGCAAAGGTTGGCGCTTTCATTTT